CCCCCCCCCCCCCCCCCCCCCCCCCCCCCCCCCCCCCCCCCCCCCCCTCACCTCTCACTCGAAACACCCCTCTCCACTATCTCCAATGTCGCCACACAGCGGAGATCGACGTCCGAGACATCGTAGACTATGCTCAACGCATCAGCGGCATCACCTCCGCCCCGGCGTACTGGAAGCCTGGGATGGCGATGGTGGGATTTGCACCTCCCGCGCCACGGCCGGAGATGATGCGAGCCGGAGCTCTCAGCGCGTTTGCCGTCTCTCAAGGTGGGCTGTTTGTTTTTCTATTGTGTGTGCACAGTACCAGTAGTGGTTGATGCTAAAGTTATTGGGAGCACACATGTTTCGGATGGAGGCGGGGAGCGGGGGAGAGTTGAAGCGCTGTGGTGTGTGCGTGCCTATGAAAGCTTGCGCACGTGGTTTGACTGTTGACCGCGCCTCCTGTCTGAGAGGGAGAACCAGTCTTGCTCCTTACAGAAAATCTTCGCCTAGAGCGGTGCTGGCGGTGTTGGTGGTCGATTGGGTAGATCTTTCGTTGTTGTCGATGGACTGGCATCATTAGGTGTTAAATAGTAGGTTGCCGCTAACGGCGGCGGGGATGAATGTTTCATGCATTGCTTCACCGTCTGCGTGCTTCGAGTAACACGCCAACCGGGGCATGTTTTCGGCGTGGATAAGACGCGTTTGACCGTCCATGACGAAGGGAAACCCCTGTTGTTGTTGTTGTGTATGCCGGAGTAGTCTTGAGGTGGTGCGAGTTGCGGTTTTCGGTGATTGGCCATATTTTCCTATCCCGTGGCGTTGTTTCAAGTATCGTCGTGCTGCCAGCTTGCCGGTGCATGTTGTCAGGGAGCGCACAGTATCCCAGCGCGCGAACTACCCTACCCTGTCCCTTGGGCAAGAGCCCCAAATATTCGATCAGAGTCCCTGTAGAGAGAACGCTGTGCGTGGGTGGAACGCCATGTATGTGACGGAAAATCTCGCCAAGTTTATTCGGCAAGGAACAGCAGTGCATCATCCCTATCGGGGCACGTGGCCAATGTTCCCAGGTCGACCGAAAACCGAGCAGCCACAAATGCGTCATGGTCACCCTCCCCCCTTTATTACTACGTCCTCCCAAGGACGCGTGGTCAATGGTTTAACAATTAAACGGAGTACGCTCTCCCCCCCCACCCCCTGTTTCTGGCCACAGGTACCTCCTCGCTGTCGCTCCCCGAGCTCTTGACGCTAGCGCGCGACCTGGACAGGCCCCCAGATCAAACAGGCGCCGCCGAGGCTGCTGGGGGCCCCGCGAGCGGCGGCGGAGCTGCGGGAAGCGATAGTACTAGCAGTAGCAATAGGAACAGCCCATCTGGCGACGGACGAAACCGAAAGGACGAGCCGGGCGGTGCGGGTGGCGGGGAAGGGTCGCCGAAGAGGAGAGGGGTGAAGCGGCCGGCGGCGTCGGGCGAGGATAGTGGCGGTAGGCCCGATGGCGGCGGCGGCGGCGGGAAGGGCAAGCCGTCGAAGGCGTCGGCGTCGGCGTCGGGGGGTAGCTTTGCGAGACTGACCCCACCGAAGCGGCCTAAGATTTCGCTCGATCTCGATGATTTGGATAGCGATGATGATGATGACAGCGGTAGCAGTGGTGACGAAGAGTGAGAGGATGGTTTAAGAACGAGGTCGACCGATTGTAATTGTTATGGGTGCAGTGCAGCTGCCCTTGTGAATGATGGCGGTGTGATGATGTGCTTCTTGTTTTTCTCTCTTGGGAGTCCGTACTTGTTACAGAGGTATCGTCAGCTGCATTCAGACATGGGGTCCATGAGACGGCGGTTGTTGTTGTTGTATACAGAACGATTCTTTGAGAGTCAGCGTGCGAGATTCACCCGCTACGATGTTGTGTGCCATCTGAGAAATCTCGCCTGATTCAGCTGCATGGCACAACGTTGAGTAGATCATGAGCTTGATTGTTCGACCCGGCGGGTCTCACGGACGGGGCGCGATTTTGCCGTGCCAGCTTGGGTTTTTGGATGCAAGAAGCAGCGTTCACTAAGTGGCACGCAAGGACTTCGGGATGCGAGTGCTTCTCAAGGGCTATTGGCGTTTGTTTTTTACCTTGTTGGTCGAACAGAGCAACTCACAGCTGCTGCACGCGTCAGGATCACGCCCGTGGTCCCTTGCAGAAACAAAAGCGTACGTACCCATATGCTATTCATAGCGTTGTTCACCCTTAGTCCTACAGCGGGGGAAACAGCCGACCAAAGAGAATGGAGCAGAAACTAATAGCCGCCGCGTGTCGATGAAAAAGTACTGGACTTAAGCCATGCACGGACTCGAACGAGACTCCCGTCTCTGGTCTCGACGCTCAGGTGCAGTCGACGTGTTGCCAATGCATCGGCCAGGGTGTAGAGTGGTGAGTGGGCAGTGCACGACGAGTTGTCAACGTGCGTGTGTGTGTGCTTTCGTGTTTAACCAACCCCTTTTTCGTTTGAAAAAAAAAAGCCTCGAGGAACTCATCCATCATATGATTTGTACATACAACGGTCGCCTCGGTGGTCTAGTGGGTAGCCTCGCCGCCTGCTAAGGGCCAGGTCATGGGTTTGAGTCCCGACAGAGTGAGTTTGCTCTCGCTAAGTACATCCTGGTCTCCGTTGAAAGCGACGCGCTGCAAAGCTCGTTGTTAGTGGACTTGATCGACTTCATAAGCCGCGAGGGAAGGGATTGCTGTACCGTTCTCGCGATCTAAATGCCTCAGGCAGGAACCGCAGGAGGGGGTCCAACCCCCCCCTCCTATGTGACCCCGGACGGGTCGTCTAGCTGGTAGAAGTGGAGGATAGGGGCCAGAGGGGCAGACGACAGAGTACAATCATGGGAGAAAAATAATAAACATCTACGGCCGTAACCAACCGAGACAAGCAAGCCTCACGGCAGAATGTGTGCATGTGTGTGTTGAATTCCTTCCAGCGACAGTTAGTTACGATGAATGATGAGTTGGGAGCGTTGTTGAAAACATTTGTTCACCTTCCACACGAGGTTCAGAAAACCCACGATTGGTCATGTCGAAACAATAAAGGTGTCGGTCCAAGTCTGCGCTATTAGATGAAAGAGCCATCAGCAAGTTGTAGACTCCTCCGTCAGGCGGAAGACCCTCTTCCCTCGCCCTCGTGAAACAAACCCCCATCATCAAAAAAGTGTACACCCGTGCTAAAAGCAGTCTCTCTCCCCTCCACATCAGCATTATGTTCAGACGCGGTTGTGTGTGTATAAATGTATGTCATTATCGTGTGGCCAAAGCTTGCTGTGGATTGTCTGCAAGCTCCAACCAGTGGAAGTGCGTGGACTTTGATATATGTGCACAGAACCAACCGGTGTTGTTCTGACAAATGTAGATGTGCCCTGGTTCACAGCGTACCTACAACAATACAACAATAGGAGCAGCAGCAGACCATGACACAACAGACACAAACTACAGCGGTAGAGTTGAAGGTCTTCTCTCTGTGTGGTGTATATGTAGATTTGACAACACATGGGAAAACATGTAGTCTAAACTCACAAGGTGTTGGATGTTTTTTTTGTTTGTTTTTCTCCCATCATTGGATTCTGTCGTCTGCCCTTCTGGCCCCTATCCTCCACGTCTACCAGCTAGACGACCCGTCCGGGGTCACATAGGAGGGGGGGGTTGGACCCCCTCCTGTGGTTCCTGCCCGAGATATTTTTATCGCGAGAAGGGTACAGCAATCCCTTCCCTCGCGACTTATGAAGTCGATCAAGTTGACTAACAACGAGCTTGTTGTGTGGATGGAACTACTGCTGTTTGTTGTATGACGATGTTGGTCATCACATCTGGACGACAGCAATCAGCAATAAACTGAATTGCTGGGATGGCGTTGGGAAATCTCCCTGATCCTCAAGCCCACACGACGGGCAATCTACAACTGCTGTACTTCGCTTCATAGTAAAGGAAGCGATCTTTCTGACGATTGTTGCTACCGGGCTACCTGGTATCCATAGACTATGGATTACATCCCGATCGATTTGATGTCTTCTCAAAAATGAAAGGCAACATGTTATGAAACACGAAACCCCCGGGGGTGTGTTGGTCTGCTGAGAGAGTTGAGGCCCTTTGCGAGCACGCGTACGTATAGAATATTCAATTCCCTTTCATTCCAGGTCACCCACCAGATTTGAGGCGGCCGGACACCCACAGCAGTCTTCATTCACGCGTGTCTTTGAAGGATACCCAGGTAGCTGGTCCTGCGGACGAAGAAAGAGAGAGAGAGGTCAGTGTCGTAGTACCTCCCACTTCGGAAAGCTGCATGTCGCGACGTATCGTACCATACGCACAAGGAGCACCAGCAGTGCATCATCTCATCTCACATCAATCTATGCGTATGAGGAGTTTGTCCTCTCAATGTGGTGCTGCGACCTTTGGCCTAGTGCGCGGGCACCGCAGGGCACGGAAGCTGGCGCAGCCGGCCCTGGCGCTTGCCCAAAGGCCCGCGCCTTCGGTTCTTTCTGATTTCTCACAGAGCTGTAGCGGCGCAACACCGCACCAGGCAGGAGGTGGCTCTCTCTCCCTTGCGGGTACTTGTCATTTCGAAGAAAGCTGGCAGCACGTCGTGCAACAGCAGCATATGCATGGGTTCTGCCAAGCGCTGAGATGGGGGTGGCCGTTGATGACGCTTGTGTTCACAGAGCACGAACACACGCGCTTCGTATACGCATGTTCAGTCTGCACGAGAGCGTCCCGGTTGCTTTCCCAATTCGGGTTCCCGACGCACAATGATCATCTCCGCCGTTTGAAGGTGTGCGTGATGATGTGAACACCCCGCCTGACACCAAAACGTTCCATCGATCGACCTCAGCGAAGCGTCCGTCCAAGCTCCGGAAATGAGAGATTGCCGCAAATCAGCTGAGGAGACCGTGGGCGCCAGCGACCCAGACATCCCAGCCAACGGGGACCGTTCCACTAGGCGAGGCGGCAAGCGAGGGGGCTACACAAACGTCGGGCTCTGCGACGACGAGCCTTCAGCAAGCTGCGCAGCAACAAGCGGGATGATGCTCGGCGGTAGCGCGGCAACAGACAGCGACGGGCGTCTTGTTGCTGCCGCGATCACCACCACCAGTGCCGCCACCGGTGCCAGCAAGCGCAAACACAAGCTCAGCTACGTGGAACTAGGGGAAGGGGAC